TATTTCCATCTCATTGATATTATTTTGATTTAATTGGGTTTAAAATATACAGAAAAGTTTAATTTATTGTTTTCATACTTCGTCTTTTATGAGTGGTAGGTGCTTTTTCAGTTGCTTTAATTGCGGTTGACAATACTTTGGATGGATCAAAATATTTGCGATGCCAATTAGCAATCCATCTGAAAATTGAAGCTATGACTGTCGGATTATCATAACAATAACAATATATGATTAGATAACAGCTAATATCAATAGCAGCCGACTGATTAAGTTTCAGAAGAGTTAAATTATTTAACTAATTGAAATAATGTTGATTTCTGCTAACTTAGTTAAAAGAGAATTAACTTTCTTCAAGAATCAACTTTAACATTACTTTAATGCAATTTCGATTATTCATTTATTTGACATTTAATAAATATTCAAGCTATCAATAAATAATTAAGTAAAAGTTTAAGACTAAATTTTCAAATAATTCGATTAGAAAACATCAAAACAAAAACATACTGACAAAGTGATCCGCCACAACAAAAGCAAAAACAGCAATAGAAGCAAAACGACATAGCAAACATACTGAGAAAAAGTGTTAGATTTTCTCGAACTTTACCTAAAACTTATTATATGTGTTATTGATTGAAAATTTTTTTGAATTTAAAGATTTCAAATTTGAAAGCAAGCAAAATGTACCTCAGCATACAATCACAATTTTTCACAAATTCTAAGACCAGCAAAAATCAGAAGTGCTAAAAAAATTCAAGTTCAGATATTCAATTAACAAATTTTAACTGTAATTAAAAAGTAATAAAAATTAAAAATCCTGCATCAATACCGGAAAAATTACCTTCTAACCAATAATGGTTATTTTCGTCCTGTGAATCAAGCAATATTCGGCAAATGATAATTATTACTATATTGAGGAACATTATCTTAAAGGAAAGAATTGAGAAGTTTTGAAATTTGAAAAAATATTTAAGAGTACATAAAAATCAAATACATACCTTTTGCAATTCTCTTTTTAAAAATAAAGTATGACGGAAATTGTTTTAGTTCAAAAATGATTTACTATTACTGCTAAAATTAGTCAAATTAAAGTTTTTGGAAATTGTAAAAATTTATTGATGCAATAATTTGATACTTTTGCTAATTTTATCATGAAAATATAAATTCAAACTGTTATCGCAAAAAAGTGGACAGTTATTTTATTTTTATATGCAAATTGTATATTTCATTTTATTTTTGTAAATTTTGTTATAATTTAATTTATTTTTACACTTTCCGTTCATTGTAAAATTGATCTGAAAATGAAAAGTTTTCTTTTTTCTGATAAATTTCCTTAACTTAAAATTTGTGTATTCCATTTTTTGTTTGCTCATTTTATCATTGCTTATCATTCATGTACTTTATGAGCGTATATAATTAAAAAAAAAAGAATAAAACAAATGCCATACTAATGTGATAATAAAAACAGTATAACTCCAATTTTTCGGCTTTCCAGGCTCTTTTTCTTGAAACATTTTTATCAGTCCAAAAAAAGACACTGAAATTTGAAATAATTAATGTAATTATCACATAATATATAGGTATAATATACAGCCAAATAATATTTTTTGAACAAATTTTTGTTGTCTGCATTTTAAATTACTAATATTTAATTAAATTGCCTATTTGTAAAAACAAAACAATGTATCGCTCGCCTAAACAATATCCTACAATTCAATAAATTGCCATTTTTCAAATGCATTTTCGAGAGCTAGATTGAATTGCTCTAAATTTTATATCGCCTGCTTAATTAGACTGATATTTTTTTAAATTAAAAAAGAAATTGGCATCCTTCAATACATGCGTTCAATTATAGAAATGTACAAGTACCTAAAAATAAAAATTTTTAACTGCCAATTTTTTTAAAGATTTCAATCTTAAAATAATTCTTTCTATTATTATAAATTTGTGCTATTGAAACTTTGCTTATGTGATAGAAATTTCTTGGTGATAAAATTACAAATGAGATGTTGGCCAAAAAATAAAATCAAATTTTTTCTGTTTATTAAAAAAGGAGGAAAAAGTGAGTAAAAGGTTAATCTTGCAAATTTAATATACCACAATACCGGTTTTGTCTCTTTAAAATTTTTGGTTTGCTGCAAATATTTTTTCATCGTTTTTATTTGAATTAAACAATTTTGCAGTACAAAAAATTTTTTGTTATAAAAAAAGTAATTGAATAGAGAAAGAAAGAAGGGAATAAAGTATTAACAGTAAATTATTATTACCATGCAATTCCTTCAAATATAATAAAAAAAAAATTAAATGCAAATTTTGTGATTTATTTCATTTTCCGTTTGTCTCTTTTATAATTAATTTCTCTTCCAAAGTCAATGCTAAGTTATTTGTAAGAAAATAATAATTAATCAGAATAAATCATGCGAGAAAAATAGTGATTGATCAGAATGATGGAAGAAATATTGATTAAACACAAATTCAGAAAGTAATTACTTGGAATAAATTATGAGAAGAAAATTACGATTAATTAAGATAAATCCTACAATGTTTGCAGTTAAAAGTTAGAGGAAAAGAACAATCATAAAAAATCGTCAATCTCGTATATTAAATATTCACGCACATAAAATTTACGCTTTCATATAAATGAAATTTGGTCACTCCAAATTGCGAGGAATGAAATGTAATGAGATAAGTGAGGTCAATATTTGAATATTTCAGCTTATTTACTTATAAAAATCAAGGTAATGATGACTCATGTAATTATTCGTTGAAAATTTATTTTGTAATCTTTGATCTCTTCTGAAAAAAACATGGTTTTGTCAACTTAAATTGCTGCAATAGGAATATTTTTTGAGAGAAAAATTGTCACTTTATATTAAAAAATTCAACAAATAATACTAATCTTAAAGTATTTCAAATCATATTAACTCGAAATATTAATTGGTTAATTAAAAATTTAATCCCTTCGCGTTGTTATTGAATTATTGCTGCATCCTTTTGACAATAGTAATTGATACAAACAATGAATGATATTTAACTTCCAATCTTATGCCTTAAACAAGTACTAATATTTGATTTAATTAAATTTTTTAAATTAGAAACACTTATTACTAAGTTATTGAACAACAGCCAAGCTAATTTTCCCAAATAATAGCAGGAAAATAATTGATATTAGAAAAGTTGTGCAATTTTATAACAATAATAATAAAATTTCCATTAAAATCTCAGTTTATCTTTATTTCTTCCATCAATATTTCTCACTAATCATGCCACTTCAATCTATTTCACGTTACGTTAGTCTTTTTTACGCCACGTTAGTCTATTTTACGCCACATTAGTCTATTTCGTGCCATATTAATCTTATTGAAGAGGATATATTAATTAATTTCATACCGCGCCAGTCTATTTTAAGTTATGCTAAATCATTTGATACGATGTTAAAATAATTTCATATTATGTTAATTTGTGTCAATTTTCACGCTAACTTAATTACTTATTCGGTCAACAATAAAATGTTAATTAATTGAAGAACAAAAAATCACAAAAAAAAGGGCGAAAAAAGGAAGGGAAGGTAGAAAAACGAAATTTCAATACACAAAATACAGTCAATCGAATATTACACTGTAAGCCGGATCCTGTTATTATTCCGGCATCACACACTCAGTATTTGCAATCAATTCTCGTTGTTGAATAGCAACAATACATATTTGTACAACACGGACTGACACGTCCAAATACATTCATTATTCTTTCCTCAATTTAAATATGATCTTTCATGTCTAAAATGAAAGATGCAATGGAAATATAAAAAAATTTTTTCGTCTTCTTCAATCATCACAAAAATAACATTGCATTCATTACAATTTTATATTGTTAATTGTTAAAATTTTTAATTAGCGTATTTGTCATTGTTATTTAATTATTGCGTAGAAATTTACGAATCAAAAAAAAAAGAACGTGACAAGTAAAAATTTTCAAATCCAATATGGTATGAGGAAAAGAGTAGAAATTTTTCACCGAATAACTAAAATAAGAAAGGATGGCGATGCAAAATTGCTAACTGATTGTCGACGACTAAATCAAAAAAAAAACGCGGAAAATTGAAATTTGAAAAAAAATTATCATTTCTACTTTTTATGTATTTTTATGTATTTTCATGTATTGAATGCAATTACACAAAAAAGTAATAAAATTGTATTTACCTTTGTGATTATTTTTAAACAACCAATAGCAGTCTATTAAGCTTATGAACCATTTAATACATTAAGAAGAAAAAAAAACATATGAGTTTATTGCTTGATAAAATCTAAAAACAGGAACAATTTTATGATATAATTAAAATTGTCAAAGTGATTGTTATTGTTGTTGCTGTTATTGTTGTGGTAATATTTGGTACTATTATTTTTACAACAATCATTTTTATTGATTTTTGCACCGTTGCAACCGAGAAAAAAATTAAAGCATTTTTTTCATTTCCAAGTAGTCGTGCAAAAATTATTTTATTATAAATAATTTCGTTTTTTTTTTGCATGCAACATGCATTAACAATTCATAATTTGCAAATGCTATATTTTTAATTTCATATTTAAACACACAATTATTTCATTGCTCTTTCTTATTGAAAGTTAAAAAGCATTCTATAGAGGTGTGAACGAGCAAAGCCAAATTAAAATAATGATTTAATTATGAGAAATTGACAAAAAGTTACTTTTTGACATTTCCTATCGCAATTGACAACCGTAATTTTAATGGTCATTTTGAACCCTCGAATATTACTTATCTCTCAATGGATATCCTCAATCCTAATGGTTATTTATTTCATTTTGTTAACAACCTCAATTCTTCGCCTCTCATTATATCACTTTCTTAGGCTATTGGAGAGCTAATTGGATTATTTAAGTCATGCAAAATGTATGAAGCCCTAATCTTAAATATTTTCACATCTAAGGTCTATTCGTTAGCATATTTTCAAATTTGTTTTCTTTTTCCTCTAATTTTAACAATAATTAATGCGCTTTTTTCTCTTTGTTAGCAAGTTTTGTTTTTGCCTCATTACTGTCAATATTTGTGCGAGTAGCAATTTTGCAATCGCCATTTTTTGTTTTTTCTAAATTTTTCTTTCTAACAACGATACCATAATCGAGCATACTGTAAACCATATCAATTATTGATTTCTTGATTGGCATATATTCCATTTGAAGAAGTTGTTCTGACTGAAAGAAAAGAAAAGAAATGGTTAAAATTTTTCTTGCAATATTGCCAAAATTGTTTAAAACGACATAAAAAAATATTCGATTAAATTTTTCTTCTTTTTCAAAAAAAAAAACAAACGACAAATTGAGTTATGTTTAAAAAATTTTTGCCAAATTTATTAGATTAAAATTAAAATTTACAAAAAAACTTTTTGTAAATTTTCAGATTTCTTAATTTAATTTGCAGCTTTTAAATGATATATAGAAGAAAATTCCTTCGAATTATTGTAAATCAATTACATTGTTAACATTGAAGAAAAAGAGATAAGATTTCATTGTCTTGAATGTTTTTTATGATTTTTAATTTTTACCTTTGTATTATCAAAACGTAATTTTGGTCCAAAACGATATTTCACCGCTTCAAAATGTGGATCACACGTCACTTTAGCGTATAATTTTGCTAGCCAATCTGGCGTTGTTATACGTGTAATTGAAAAACCTAAAATTTTTATTAGAAATTTTATTTTGAAATTTACGGAAAATTTGTTAACAGCCATCTTACTCTTTCTGAACGAAAAATTCTTAATACGCCTGAACGATTATTTAAATGATTTAAAAAATGTTAATTAAATTCATTTACCTTGATTTTTGAATTCTTCATAAAGCCAATGTGCTAGCTGTGAAAACCAAACTGAAGGCGTTGCAGTAATCAGAATTCGTTCACCGTCACAATTTGCGCATTCCATTGCTCGTATATGTGCTCGTGCTACATCACGTACATCAACCATGCCAAGTGAAACTTTTGGTGCTGCCGGAAAAGTACGATAATCCATCATTCGCCTAATTATCTGAAATAATTTTAAAGCGTGTTCAATCTTCAAACTAAAGATTTAATTATAAATACTTTAAACACTTGAAATATATTTAAAATTTTATTTAAATTATATTACAACATTGCTGAAATTACAGAATAATTTGATAACAATGATTGTGTTTTGGTTGATAAACACAAAAAAGAAAAATAAATTAAGTCAATTGATGGAAAAATAAATGACAAACTTTGGCACTTCCATGTCTCTGATCTGAAAGTACGGGACCAATAACAAATGATGGATTTAGCACAGTCAATTGAAATCGTGACTCTTCTAAAATACCAAAAAAAAGTGAACAAAAATAAATAACAATTATTTAATTAAGCGAAAAAAATCCATTAAATCAAAACTGACTGCAAAAAAAAAATGGCAATAAATATTATTCATTGGAAAAAATTTCTAACTTCGCTTTAAAACCATTCACAAAAACTGCGGAATAAAATAATTTGGAAAATAGTTTAAATTTAACTAATCAAAATAACCTGGTAGTGATTTCCAAAAGTCCCATGCAGCTTTTTCGGCGATTATTTTTGAACGACTATAATTTTCCACTCGTTTACTGTTCAAATTTCCCCAACAATTTTCATCAAAAATACGAGCATCATTTGTATGACCATCTATCGAACAGGAAAATTAATATCAATAAA